GAAGCCGTACGGCTTCCACTTTAAAATATCTCTCGTTGTTTTTAATTAATTATTTATTATAATTTTTAACAAAAAATATTTATATATATGCACGTGGAGTGTCCCAGAGAGTCTCAGAATTACCGCAGTTTCAAAAATCAAACAAATATGGTAGATGGCTCGTTTTGACAGCACAAGTTTGAATATGCGATTTTTTGAATAAATAGTCATTAATCTCTTGGATTACAATCGTTCCTATCCCAAGGTGGGGTCATCTACCCAAAACTAACGTGTCGCTAAGCGACACGGTTTGTACGTCCTCTGTTCTTTCGCGTTTGTGTTTTTTTTTTTTGTTTGCCAACGCTAACTGCTGTAATCCTATATTGCCCCCCCTCAAAAAAAATATAAAACATTTTACTCTTTAAGACACTTGTTATCATGATATGACAGGCATCTTAAATAGTAAAGTTTACTGTTCATATTATGATCACAGGTAGCTTAATTAAACATGAATGTTTACTTGCCATATAATAATGGGTACGTGAAACAGTAAAGTTTACCTGTCGTTTGATCACAGGTAGCTTAATTAAACATGAATGTTTACTTGCCATATAATAATGGGTACGTGAAACAGTAAAGTTTACCTGTCGTTTGATCACAGGTAGCTTAATTAAACATGAATGTTTACTTGCCATATAATAATGGGTACGTGAAACAGTGAAGTTTACCTGTCGTATGATCACAGATAGCTTAAACAGCAAAGTTTATCTTGTCAGATATTCTTACAAAATTTTGTAGGCTATTTCAACATTCAAACATGAATCAAATTTAGAAACCCAAACAGTCCATGGAAAGTTAGGGCTGGAATCATCATAATATATGAATGCTCGAGACTGCAATAGGTGCGATCCCCCACCCCATGTCTCCAGGGTGGGGACAATTCACATACTGTCTCCTTCACTTTTACGGTTACGCAATTTTATGCCATAAAAATGCACAGTTAAGCTATTTTACAGTTTCAGATTAACCACTTTTAAATTACTTAATGTCAATCAAAATAAATAATTGGTACCACTGGTCCAGATTATTAACTTAGTGTTCATCCAATGGTTGATGATTCTTTAATACACCATCAATAATAATTTTCTTTCTGTTTTTCTGGTTAAGAGCAAAATTGCACTAATGTGAGCTCTCTGTGCTGTGCCTACCACAGAGATCGAATCCCGAAATTTGCGTTTTTAGAGCTATCGGGGGGGGGGGGTATTTTTTACGAATAAAACGCTTTTAAATACCCAAAGTACAAATTTTCTATTCAAATCCCATTAACAACGCGTTCATTCTGGGTGTTAGTTAAACGCTTTTCTAAGTATCTGATTATCGACTAATCTAAACGTTTCAAGAGAGAGAACACTTTAATACAACCGTGATCAAATGATATAATAACTTGGATTTGTTCAATAACTTGACATGAACATATGAAAATATCAACAATTCTGTATGGGTTTAGGAACTCGAATAACAATTTACAAACTCAGCTCGAGTGAATGACCTTTGGCCTCAGTCTGCGAATCAGTCTCTCTTTTGTATGACAGTCATGAACATAGCCTCAGTATTTGGATGAATGGCCTACTCATCCAGAGAGACTGTAACCATAACTCAATCAAGCGAGCTCAGTACGTAATGTACTACTAATTTATCACAGACGTAGAAACAGAGGGAGAAGAGGACAGGGAGATCCTTATCTCCAATACAGAGGATCAGCATCCATGCACATCGCCTACCCAATAAATTTATATAGGTTTACAATTTCTCCAACTTGAATTGAAGTTTTGGTCGAAAACAATGACTCATACTAAACAGATAAATATTCTAAAATGACTTATGTGGCAGAGGATAAAGCGGGAGATTGGTCATTAACCTGTTAATTTCGGTTGTTCTTTTTGCCAGTTTTTCGTCATGTCTTTATCACTAAAATAGGCTCAAATTACCACTCTATCTGTGAATGTTTCCTAGGGGAGCATGCACCACCCCAAACCACCCTATAACTTCCGCCTGCTTTTAACAGACACATTTTTGCCTTGTTACATTCACTCACAACTTTGGCACACCCCCCCCCCCCCAACGACTATGGTTGTAGCACAATGTCTTCTGGCTTAGGAACTATACTTTTCACCTTCAATATTATAAGGATGATCTCCCACTAGTTTAAGAAGACCTTCCCTTACCTGACAAGTAAGAAGTAGATTTCAGGCCTGGTTGAGGTACTCTTGAACAGACTGATAAACTGACAACTATTTAATCTTCCGCGATCTTGACCCATCTTATCCACGTTCAGTTCCTATAATGTACAAAAAATAATAATTCTCAAAACACTGTAAACATTTCTGTAAACGATAGAGATACTGCCTGAAAAACACTGTAAATATTTCTGTAAACGATAGAAATACTGCCTGAAAAAAACACTGTAAACATTTCTGTAAACGATAGAGATACTGCCTGAAAACACTGTAAACATTTCTGTAAACGATAAATGTACTGCCTGAAAATACTGTAAACATGTCTGTAAACAATAGAGATACTGCCTGAAAAACACTGTAAATATTTCTCTAAACGATAGAAATACTGCCTGAAAAATACACTGTAAACATTTCTGTAAACGATAGATGTGCTGCCTGAAAACACTGTAAAAATTTCTGTAAACAATAGAGATACTGCCTGAAAAACACTGTAAATATTTCTGTAAACGATAGAAGTACTGCCTGAGAACACTGTAAACATTTCTGCAAACGATATGAGGCACTAAAACGAACTCTCAAACTAATGACAAGCTTCATCCTTTTCACTCTTTTTAAATTCCATGAGTATAGCATTGTACGGCCGAAGTACTGACAGAAGTTGTCAGTGTAAAGTAAATTATCACAACTATTTTAACGGCATAACAACTTGCAGGACAACAAAACCATTGGCCTTTCAAGTAATGTTTTTTAAGACTAGCAAATCTATAGTTACACGCAGATATATCTAAACTGACCATTTATGTGAAAGAAAAAAGGGGGTCTCATTGTTCATTGTAGAAACCCTTCAATTCTTCCTTCACGCATGCGCATTCTGGTAAATTACAATAACATAGTTGCATGATTTCCTGAACTATATCGATGAACAGTTAGTAGAGACGCTGTTTGTAAAGGAGTTACTGAGCTCTAGTTTCAAAATGAAAGAAACTTGAGCGAATAAATGTTGTGAATATCCTTCAAAGTACAAAATACGGATACTTAACGAGCAATATACGAAAATATAAACCACAGAACAATTTAGCGTCTCAGGTAAAGTCTCGAATTTTCCTGAACATGCCAATGAAAGACGGTAGAAGCTGAACAAATGGTCACCATAGATACCACTATTAATAATCACTAGCTAAATGGAACAAACAACGTCTTTATCCAGTGCTACGTCGCTTATTTATGTGAATAGCACAAACAATACAGTAACTTGCTTGGATGTAGCTATAGTCAATAAACTATATTCGTGGTTATGGCAAACCCTTTGGCGCAATTTTAACTTTATTACCAAATTTCACATGACTTTCATAAAAAATTATACTTACTACGTATTTACTTTTTTGAATATTTTATACTAACAAATTCTTAAGTCACGTGCTCTTTAGCAGGTGTCTTTTCAATTCAATGTGTATAAGAAGAACGATAGGATTGTTTTTTTAATAAAGTGTGTAATCAACTGTATTCATTGCTAAATTATTCAGTATTCTTAGATATATTCCAGAACGTTGAAATTTCTTTTCAGTTCTTGATATTCGAACTGTGGTCGTTTCACTGGCAGGGCCCCGACACGGCCAGGTGGTTAGAGCGCTCGACTCGCAATCTCAGAGTCGCAGGTTCGAATCCCCGTCCCATCAAATATGCTCGCCCTTTCAACCGTGGGAGTGTTATAATGTGACGGTCAATCCCACTATTCGTAGATAGAAGAGTAGCCCAAGAGTTGGGTGGGTGGAAATGACTAGCTGCCTTCCCTCTAGTCTTTCACTGGTAAGTTAGGGATGGTTAGCGCAGATAGCCCTCGTGTAGCTTTACGCGAAATTCAAAACAAACCAAATCACTTGCAAGAGACCTGTTTTGTTTACTAGATTTGTTGTAATATGTTCGTTGTTACAATAATTAAGTATTTCAATAAGATTCGATGATGATTTTTGGTGATGAAACAAAGAACTTTTATTGGAAGAGCCAAAAGTTAATATGGTTTTAAATTTGAAAAACTAACAGTAGTTATGGAGGACTACCACTCGTTTCTCACTGGAATACGTATTCGCCATTTTTGCTGGAAACTATAAACTCCTGGAATGCTTTTCGAGTAACCATTTTGTTGTCATACCTACCATAAGGAGGTTTAAGTACTAGAATTCGTTTACTAACAGTCCAGTAAATTTAACAGTTGTGGTCGAATCAGATCTTATATACTGAAACTCTAAAAAGCTGAGGTCCCCCGGTAGACAGTGGTGAGTTTACGAACTTACAACGGTAGAATCCTGGGTTCGATTCCCCGCAGTGGACACAGCAGATAGTCCATTGTAGCTCTACTCTTAGACAAACAAATCTAAAAAGTTGAGAATTCTTCGCGTTATAGTGTTTGACTTAAAGTACCAAGTTTGGCATCTACAAAGTGAGTGCATGCACATAAGTAGATTCTACGACATGACTCGAACAAATAACAGCAGGCGTTTGATTTCTTGAAGAAAGTAGCTGAATGTGGGACATGACTCGAACAAATAACAGCAGGCGTTTGATTTCTTGAAGAAAGTAGCTGCATGTAAGACATGACTCGAACAAATAACAGCAAGCGTTTGATTTCTTGAAGAAAGTAGCTGAATGTGGGACATGACTCGAACAAATAACAGCTAAGCGTTTGATTTCTTGAAGAAAGTAGCTGAATGTGGGAATAGGACAAAAAACTGTTAAAAAAAAACTTTAACATATTTGTAGAAATAAAATAATACTCCCATAAATAAGCTATATCCAGCTTAACGTACAGTGCCTTGCAAAAGTATTCACCCCTAACAATAATGTCACATTTTGATGAAATACAAATAATGTAAATTTTTTTATATTGAACTTGTTTTTATTCAAAACTCTAATGATCAAACTTAACACTGTTGTGTGTGAAGGAGGTTGAATGTTAGCTGATCAAACTTAACACTGTTGTGTGTGAAGGAGGTTGAATGTCAGCTGAAAGAAAATATATATATAAACTGAAATTTGTATTCAGCCCCTAAGTCAATACTTGGTGGATACATCTTTGGCAGCAATTACTGCTGTGAGTATTTTTGGATAGGTCTTTACCAGCTTTGCACAATGGGATGGTGTAATTTTTGCCCATTCTTCTTGGCAAAATTGCTTCAATTCTGACAAATTCATTGAGGATCGTTGATGGACTGTAATCTTCAAGTCTCACCATAAATTTTCCATTAGATTTAAGTCAAGAATTTGACAGGGTCACTGCAGAACATTCACTTTATTCTTTCAAAACCACGCCAGCGTGGCTTTGGCCTTGTGCTTCGGGTCATTGTCCTGCTGAAATGTGAATTTCGACCCAGTTTTGGATTCTTGGCTGACTCAAGCAGGTTTTCCTCTAGGATTTACTTATACTTTGCATCATCCATCTTTCCTTCAATCCTGACAAGCTTCCCAGTCCCTGATGATGAGAAGCATCCCCATAACATGATGCTGTCACTACTATGCTTGACAGTTGAGATGGTGTTGACTGGGTGATGTGTTGGGGTTGCACCAGATGTGAAACTTTTAATTTAGATCAAAAAGCTCAATTTTTGTCTCGTCTGACCACAAAACCATCTGCCACATGTCTGTAATATCATTTACATGTTTCATCAGAAACTCCATACGAGATTTAAGATGATTCTTTTTCATTAATGACTTATTTCTTGCCACTCGCCCATACAGACCATCTTTGTGTAGGAACAGGGATATTGTCGATGTATGAACACTGAATCCCATCTCAGACATGTAACTTTAAAAATCTTTTAAAGCCACTGTTGGCTTCACAGTGGCATCTATAATCAGTTTCCTGCTCGCCCGGCTGCTTAGTTTGGAAGGGTGGCCTGATCTTGGTGGTGACTAGGTGGTATGAAGCATATTTCCCTTCTTAATGATGGACTTCACCACACTCAAAGGGATAACAAGCGACTTTGAAATTTTCTTGTAACCTTCTCCTGATCTGTGCTTCTCTACCACTTTATCCACGACTTGTTTGGAAAGCTCCTTGGTCTTCATGGTTGGTTTGTTGTAAGTTGTGGTTTGAACAGGGGTATTTACTCTGAAGTCAAATTAAATCACGTTGATTACATACAGACAGAGACCATTACACTAATTTTGTGACCTTTGAAACTACAATTTTGCACCTGAACTGATTTAGGGTTGCCGTAGCAAAGGGTTTGAATACTTATGCAATTGAGAATATTCTTAATTTCTTTGAAAATCTAACTTACTTACATAATATCAGATTTTTTTAACTTTCTCATTTTGCAGTAGATTGTATAGATTCTAAATATAAAGTCCCATTTGAAAGTTTTCATGATTGCAAGCACCGTAGTGAAATGTCACTTTGTTCCACTTGAAACAGTTACGATGCGCGTATTTCACATAAAATACTCTTTTAAATACACTTGTGGTGTCTAAATCTATTTTAGAGTCTAGTGTAGGCGGTCTTGTTCTTATAATAGAAATTGAGTGGAGGGGATACTTAATTATATTATCATTATGTATAACATAGCGTCCTCAGTAGTGGTTTACCAACAACACCTATTTTGATATTCGAACCAAGAACTAATAATGTGACATGGACGACGAAACAAACCTAACAGTTTTAGTAAATACAAACAGAATTATTTTTGCTAAGAAAGCGGCTCACCCTTTAGTTATTAAACATCTCTAATATTGTGTATGGGCGGGCATGGTTTAACGGATATCGTACCGTACTGGGAATCCGAGGGTTCACTGTTGGGGTCAAGTTGCGAAAAATCACACCCCGTATATGAGTGACCACCAAATCTCACTATTCGATTAGAGCATCTCTCAAGTGTCGGTGGTATGAGTGTTCTTCAATCTAGTCTGTCACTGTGTTCACTGTAATTCTTCAATCTAGTCTGTCACTGTGTTCACTGTAGTTCTTCAATCTAGTCTGTCACTGTGTTCACTGTAGTTCTTCAATCTAGTCTGTCACTGTGTTCACTGTAGTTCTTCA